ATTAATTATATTCTAGATTTTACCGCTATCATAAAACGTTGTGGTGCAAGAGATAATAGATTGCCACTATAAGGAAAACCAAGAGGTGTTAGAATTAATATACCAATTGCTATCAAAAATATTCCTGTTAATACACTTATAATTCGTTCTGCATTCTTTATTAAAATTACTATAGGCATCTGAAAAAAGTATTTGAAAAAATATATTATATAATATAAAGACAATAATAAAATTGCATTCTCATTATTTATAAAAAGTTATTTATATAATAAATATGAAGTACAATACAAACCAACTTACCGTAAAACTAAATAGTAAGCAAAATAATAATGACAATATATTAGCTATAACAACTTCAGAGTTAAGGCTACCACCAGAACGTCCCATTATGGGAATAAAAAGATACAAAGCACCAATTGTTAAATAAAATGATTGCATATAGGGTAAAGTCAGCATTCCTATGTGGTAACAAAGCCATTTCCAACCTATAGAATTAAATTATATATATATATATATAATTTAATGTATATGTTTTATATATATATATATATATATAATATTATATATAACAATATATATATATATATATATATATATATATATATATATATATATATTGTTACATGATAAAATGTCTTTTGATAATAAGAAGTGATATAATTTAAGATAAATTAATACCTCTCCATTTGTAGAAAAAGTTAAGACGTAATATATTTCCAATAGCAGGGAAAAAAACCCAATGTAAAGGTATAAAACCGGATTTTATCTTAAGTAAAACACATAAGAAAAGTATTATTATCCATGTAACAGAGTATGCATCGCAATACATTTGATACAAAATCCACATGGAATTTATTTCCTGTAAAATTCAAATTATTCAATACATACGATATATTTGTTTGTAATTTTTACAAATACTATTATATATATTATACAATTTCCATAAAATTGAAAATCTTCACAAAATATAGATTAATTGGAAATTTAATTATGTTTTAGTTGCTTTTACTTTTGACTAATATTACTTTTATCTATTAATAATAGCATGATCACAATTTAAAATACTGTAAATACAATGTGATGGATACATAATCATTTACCTTCTTTTGTCGAGTTCCAACGTACAAGAATAAAATCATTGACATGAAAACAGTTGGACAAACATATAAAAAGAATAACCATGCTGGTCTTACATACCAACTCATAACTTTTCCTAATTTCGTAAGAGTTAGTGCAATTGCTGTACATGTAAATGAAGATAAGAGCCATGAACTAACAATAATAGCGATGCACATTAATAAATTTTTTAGATATGTGAACTTTTTGGCATCTAGATAACAAAATATAAGTTTATATCAGTAATATAGAAAATAATAATATCATAAAAAACTTTTTTTGCTCTTATAGTCAATCATATCAGCACAGATATTCATATTTACCTCTGCGTGCATTTTGCATATTCATATATACAGAATATATTCCTATAGAAATACTGAGAACATTTATTGTACTTGAAATATACAATGGCCATCTGATCACGAATGCACCTAAAAAATCAAAAAATACAAGACTTTCTACTGCATTTTGTGATGTTCTATCTGGCATAAAATCCTCCAGCATTATTCCTTGAGCAAGAGCAAGAATATTATCTCCAGTTCTTTGTAAAGATCCTAACGGTATTTGATCTACTGTATCAAATTTTGTATGGTAAACATAACCATTAGTTGACCAAGCAAAGTCTACACCTGGACAAAATATATTAAATATAAATACTTTGTCAATTATATTTCTAAATAAAAATAAGAAATATATATATATACTACCAGAAATATTTCCAAAATCTCTAAATATTCGGAAATCGGTATCTCCAGGAACAATGCCACTTTCGAATATTTCTTGAGCCAAGGACGATGCAAATGGATATGGAACTGATTTAGAATAAATCTGAGAAAAAGAATTATTATGAAATAAAATCAAATATATATAATGCATGAAATAAACAGATATAAATTTGAAATACCTCCAAAATCCATGGACTATCAGGACCAGCTTGAAACAATAATTCTCTACCACCTGCACCACATGCTTCTAAATTTATAAAAGTTCTAATCTCTTTAGCCCAAGAATGTTGCGTTATAAAACCATGTGAAGCCTATGAAATAAAAATTATATCTTCCTATAAATTTAATTTTGTTTAAATTTAAATTAATCTGGAAGTACCTCTAATAGATTTTCCTCTGCTCCATTAAATAAAAAAATAATATTATGCTTTAATAACTGTGGACTGTAAGCCATTACACGTAATATTTCTAACATCACAGCACATCCAGCAGCATCATCGGAACCACCTATCATTATATGCCATGATATTCTTTGAATATATTAAGAATAAATCAATTTTGCTTAGAAACAATGTTATTATGTTACATGAAATACATTTACCTGGACTCTCTGGAAAGGTATCAAAATGACAATTCATCAATAAACTATGCTTTACTGGATTATGTGGCCCAATTTTAACAATAACATTCTGAACATTTCTATATACATTTGTCATGCCATCTAAAAACTTCAATGGAAATGATCCACTATGTTTTGTTATATCAAGCGTAATTTTATGATTTTCATGCGCCTTATTAACTATTTCATTAATTGCTATAGTTAAATATTTCACGGCTAACACTTCGTTTTCATAACTCCCAACGATTCGTGGACCAATAGATGTAAGATTTATTATGTGATTACGTGCTCTCTCGGCAATAAATCTACCAGGATAAAGTTCTTCATTTTCTATCATACATGCTTCTGGTAAATTTTTCTCAAACGCAATAATAATGAATGATACAAATAGAAAAAAAGTAAGCACAAAAAAAAGATGTGGAGTTTCATTTGGCAGTATATCTTTTCTCGTAGAAATTATTCTATTCTCTCGTGAATTACTATCTGAATATCTGCGTGTAGTATGCTGGCGCAATCTGACTCCATCTCTCTGAAACTTAATATATTTTCATACTTAAAAAAAAATAGCTAATTTTATATATAAAATAAATAAATAATATCATCTATAATGTTCACTAAAGTACACGAAAAATGAAAAAAAGCCTTACCATGATGCTTTATTATTTATTTTTACAGAACGTATCTTATCGCGAGAAGAAAATTTTAGAAAACGTTGAAAGAAATATAATAAGAATTTCACGAACGAAATTGCGTCACGTTACTCTGCAGACTGCATAGTACCGCATCGAAAGCAACTTTTGTGCCTTTTAAGTAAAAAAAGTTATAAAGCACGCACTGTTTCTTTCCTCGATGGTCGTTCTTCTTGTTATTTTTATTTACAAAGTCAACTTTTTAAATTATACTCTATTTTTCTTTGACACGATTATTCAAAACTGAGGAATTAAATAGTTGTACATTAGAATGTTTTTCTTTTTTTTCTTTTTTTTTTTTTTTTTTTTTTTTTTTTTTTTTTTTTTTTTTTTTTTTTTTTTTTTTGTAAAGATGCAAAGGTGAATGACGATTATATCTAATCTTACTAGAATGATACGTACTTTTTTTTCATTATTATCTCATCGTTATTGGTCTCTTTTTTATGTAATCTTATTCAATATTAATGTATCTACGGTCGTTTGTATAAATTTAAATTAGGTTATGACAAAGATTCGACATCGTCGACGAGTATATCTTTCCTTGAAGAGAAAAGAATATATTCAACATTAATAAAAAAAATTCACTGATATTAATAAAAAACAAATTAACTTTCAGTTAGTTTTTCCAAACGTTCGTTTATCATTAGGTATTCAAGCACTTGACGGTACACATAGTACGATTCATAAAGAGATAGCGATTTTGTTTGATATACTCGATGATACGTATAATACACATATGTATATCTCTGTTATCATCTGAAACTACCTATATACGTATGTAGAATAATATTGTTTAATACAAAAGCATTTCTTACCAAATTCTGAAATTCTAAATTAATTTATCACTTCAAATTATTCAAAATCACTATAATATATCTTTCGTCAATATATAAATTATTTCCTTTTTTGCTATAAAGCGTATTATAAAATACCGATATATATGGTTCTAGTTCGCGCAATTATTATTGTAAAAATGTAAATTGTTGCTATTTGTTGATTTGTTGAAATTCAATACAATAATTTACATATATTACAATAAAAGAAAATATAATTTTTTAAAACTGTGCATATACCTAATATTTGTAATCGTCATAATAAACTTCGTTATTAATTATATCGACGTAGAAAGTTGTCCAGTATGTATAAGTAAATGATAAATAATGGAAGAATTAAGAGGTTAGATGGATATATTGAAATGTGATGATTATCAAAATATTAAAACGATATTTGTGACACAATGAAAAGGAGTAAAATTTTAACAAACGTTTAATTTTATTAGTTTTTGATGCTTTTTTTACCATTAATTGTGGTGAATTTCACGTGTATCTATAATCATCACATTTAATCATTTCCTCGATTATATACGTAACAATTATATAGGTAAATGTGTCTCGATATTTTTATAGAAAAAAGTTTTTTACGATATAAATATGACATTAAATATATCAGAGAAATGAAAATTATAATAAAATTGACAGTACTTAATAATTTAATACTACGTTAATACTATAGTATTTACATTTATTATTAAAAAAGTAAATCAAGATCTGCAAAACATAAAGAATTCTATTTAAAATTCATAACGAACAATTCAGTAAACTTTATCATTTTAATGTGAATAAATTAAATGTGTTTTAGACAAGAATAACTTAAGATACTATGTATATAAATCTGTTAATAACACATGCCATATATAAACATTTTATCAAGATCGAATGTACATAGATTATAAATTTTTATGTGTGTATTAAACATAATATATATTAATCAAAATATGTTTATTGTTTTATAGATATAAATATTATTTGATAAAAATTTAATCTACAAATAAAATAATCTTGATAATCTAAAATGGAAAATATTATACTAATAAGCTGGCTGAACAAGATACTACTATTATTCTGTATAGCAAGTATATTATTGTGTTTAATTATTCAACAATGGGTTGGAGTTATATCTGTACCTATATATATTTCACTTTCATGGACTGCATTTGTCATGATCGTATCAATGTGGCTTAGTTGTGTTTTACTTAGATTTACATTAAAGAGAACTGTGCCAATTAATATAGAATTTATAAAAAAATGGATTTATAAAAGATTACCAAAATATTTAGAGTTAGAATCTTTGAGCACAACAGAAAAACATAAGATTCCAATATTAGAAAATAAATGTAATAATAAAGTACATAGAAAAGTTATCAATACAGAAAATATCAATAATTTATCTAATGGAGATTCCTTATCAAAAAAAAAATATATATATGTAGATGATATAATAAGAAAAATCAACCTTGACTATATAGATGTTTGGTACAAAAATATAAGTACTGATAAAGCATTTCCTAATGAAGCCCAAACATTATTAAAAATGTTACTAATAAAAATATTGCAAAAAGTTAATTCGATAGATAAATTAAAGCTTGCTAACAAAATGGCTGATGTAGTATTATTACATTTAAAAGAATATCGTAGGTAATTATGATTATACCTGATAAATTATATCTTATAACACCATTTTGTTTTCCTTTTATTTCAATTTTTTATACATTTTACAGAGCATTGCGTAGAGTTGAAAAGGGTACTTCTACAAATCTAGAGGAAGCATACAGATGTTTACATCCTGGATCTCGAAGTGTACTAACTTTGGAACATATATTTCATCGTCTAGTTACTGTTTTAGCTCAAGAATTTTTACAGTGGGAACTAACTAGTTCATTACCTTGTAAATTATTAGTATCTATTTTAGCCAGAAAACTATTGACAATGATACAAACAATAAGTTGTCCTAATTGGATGTTTGAAAGTTTATTAAAGTTACTGCAGAGTATATCAAAAGAAGCCAGCAAACAGTGGACGAAAGATGATGTAAATATAACGTACATAGACATAAAATGAAATAATTCAGTAAATAATTGCTATTAATTTCAGGACATTGTTCCTGTAGGATTGAATGATGGTATAACATTTGCAATGACTACGGTAATTCCACATCCTCTACTCCAACCTGTAATTTCTAATAAGTCAATGACAAAATTTATGCAAGAAAATCAAAATTTATCATTGCCAATCAATATTGAAAAACAATCTTTAAGTTTGAAAGGTTTAACAGTACAGCATAGAGGTCTTTGGGCAGATGTAAATATATCAGAGATGGATACAGAAATTGATAATAACAGAATATCACCGATATATGAAGAACCTACGGATTTTGCCACAACTATTGCAAGACTAAGAAATTTATTACAGCAAAAGTCTACTGCAACTACACCATTGTAAGTTATGAAAGCTTTTATAATATTTATATTATTCATTTAAAATTTATTATTGCAGACGTACAGAAGAAAAATCCTATGTAATATGTGAAGTTAATCAGTTTATAAATTTATGTATACCATGGACAGAATTTCATACAACAGCAGATGGTTCACAGCAATTATTATATTGCATTCAATTTGATGATGTTGAACAGCGTGGAGTAGATTTATTTGAAACTACAACAGCCACAGTTAAAAGACAACATTCTGACTTTGTTCAATTACATAATTCTCTGGAAGAGGGAAGATTATATAGAATTTAATAAATTCAATTTATAAATTGATCTATAAATATAAATTTATTTATTTTTTATAGATACCATCAATAGCCAGTATTGTGTCAGAATTAGAATTGCCAGAAGGTGGACGTGTGGAGATGGAAACTTATTTACGAAATCTTTGTATACGTTTGGCCAATGAATGTCCAACGCAATTAAGACATTTTTTGCGACCAAGTAGTAATGCAGGAAAAAAAGCAGATATAGTTGCACCACGATTTGATAGATTTTTAGCTAAAACTGTCAGTGGAGTATTCAATACTTTAAAAACAGTTGTACCTGGATTTGAAATAGATTCAGAAGAAGAAGTTATGCCATTACCAACATTGATACCTTTATCTGATATACCATGGAGATTCGTAGAAGATATTAAATCAGTGAGTAGATATATTGCTGTCTTATTCAGTCGTATAAATTATATAAAAGGATTGTAAAATCAAAATACAAGATATATTAGATTATATTATATTATTATTGCAGAAAAATTTAGCAAACGAATTGCAACAATTGGTGGCTGAAAGAATCGATTATTGTTCTGTAGATACAGCATATGAAGCAGTTGATAGTATGGAAGGCAGTGGAGATTCTGAATTAATGGCAAATTGGTGGGATATAGTTAACACTCCTTACGATGGTAAGAAAATTTAATCAACTCTAGTTTAATAAAATCTATAATATTTTATATCTTATAGAAGAAATGGAAGAATTAGATTCGAAATTATCTTTAACATGTGTTGTTATCGATTTAATTTGTGAGGTATTGACTGGTATTGGAAGTAACAATGTGTTACAACAAGAAGCTGTTGTTCGATGGGCTAAATTGTTATTTGGAAATGTCACTGAACCTCTTATAGAGGTAATTCTTATGCCAATATATAAAATATATAAAATATTACTATTTGTTATGCATTTATATATATGTACATAATTATTTCCAGAAAATTATTTCGAAGTTATCAGACAATTTAAGTAATATGTCATTTACATGTAATTCACAAAGTAACGTCACAGCAGAATCTGTTGTACTTGTAAAGGATAAAATATTTGAAATATTGCAAACAAAAATCCCAAGTGATATGAAACTTATTTTTGGAGAGGAAGATACACAGAAGATTCTAAAATATTTACTTACTTCATATGAAATAAAAAAGATTAATCTGGATTTAAATATGCAAATGTTAGATGTCTTGATGTCACAATTATTGATTTCCTGTAAAACAAATCATGATTTATATTGATTATTATATTTTGTGTAACTTGATGCAACAGAAGTTTACATAGTATAAGAAAAAATTAATCAAATACTTTAGTAATGTATTAGAAAGATGCTCTGTGTATGTGTGTTAATTGCATGTTCATTAAAAAATGAAAAATTGTGTACCTGATCATATATTTGCAATAAGAAATGTCAAGTATTTATTTAGTAGTATCTCTTGCAGAATAATAGATAATAAGGATTATATATAATTTGTAAATCAGTATGATGTTTCTATATCAATGTTTAATAATATGAATATTTAATGAATCATCTTTGTACAGTATTTTTTAATCGAATTTTAATTATTTTCAGAATAACTTTTTTTTTAATATATGTCTATATATGTGTGTATTGTTATAATGTAATAGCTTTTAAAATAATATAATTTTCTGTATTGTTATTTATATTTATATATTTCTGCAAAATATATCTATAAGATGATTGTATTGCAATATTAATCTATAGGTTATGATTAAGTACTCTTTCTAGAAAATATGTTACGTATAAAAGAAAACATTAATATGTACATTGTTATAGATTTAATGTAAAATAGAAACATATACCAAAAATCATATATTATAATTTATGATGCATACAAAGAGTAGAGATACAATAACGTACTATTAAATGTTGCAGACCATTTAATCTTCTTTTGTTGGTTCACCTTGACCTTTTTGTTTTTCTAGTTGTGCTCTAAAATTGCAATACATTAACTAATATTTAAGAAATTATAATGATTAATACTCATCAAAAGTATAAATAAAGGCACATCATAGATGTGTACAATCATGGGAACAAGATAATATTAACCTTAAAATATTTATTACTTAATATATACCTTAATTGTTGATTAAAATCGTCTTCAACATCGTCATCATCCCAATTATCTTCCCATACACTAATATCTTCATTATCTTCATCTTTTGCCGTCCAATCTGTCATATGATTCAGCGAAATAAAGGTTATGTTTCAACATATGTAATGTGCTATTTTAAATATTAAAAATTTAATATATACCTTCTGCTGGGAATTCTTCGAATTCATCATCTTCTTCAAGTAATCCCAGATCTACTTTGATTTTATCGTTTTTACCGTCAGTCATGTTAAAGAATTTACTTGTACAAGTTATACGAATCACAGTTATACATCTGCTGTTATAAATTCTTTATGGTGGGGATACCCTCTCCATACGGCCACAGTTTCTCTTTCCATCATTCATATATTTATCTCTTCGTATTTTCTATGATAATAGCATTTGTAGTGGTATATTAGAAAAAATTTGAAAAATCAAATGTTACAAATTAAAAAGTTGTCAGGACATTAATTAATTATCAAATTAAAACAATTATTAATACAAAAACTATTGCACATTGTATAAATAATCTACATAATATTATTCGTAGCGTGATTAAATATTCATACTATATTTACCACCTTTCAGGTTATTTATATACGATATATTTTATATTTAAAAAAAGTAACTATAAATATTATTGAAGGAACTAAGTCTTTTCTTTTATGTGCAGAATATATGTATATATAATTTATTAGGATTAATATATATGTATTATTTTTGTATATACAAAATCCGACACTCGAAGTATTACCAACTTTACGCTGCTACAGATGCTTAACTACAAATAGCAGCGTGTTCATATTTTAATTACCATTAGTCTGTTAAGTTGTTTATTAGCTTACGAAAGCATATCGTTCTACGTCGTAATTAAAAATAATTATTTCAAATTTAAACGTAATAGTATTATTGCCTTATATTTAGCCGAAAAATCACAACCAGCTATTGTTCGTGAGTTCCAGCATTTACGTGTGAAAATATTTGTATATCGAACCATAAAGCGTTACAGTGGTACTGATAGCGTCGCAAAATGCCATGAAGAAAAACAGCAACATCATCAGAAATGGTTCGAAAGCTGAAGCCTCGAATTCAAAGAAATTCACGTCAGAGCGCAATAAAATTGGCTAAAGATCTGAACATGTCCGACAGAAGTATACAGCGGATACTGAAAAATGAACTTAACCTTTTCGCTACGGACGCATTCTCCGGCGCGCTATACTGCTGAACGAGCCACCGTGCTAAAAGTGTGCACTTGCGGAACAACAACAATCGCCCGTCATACGTTCAATACCGCGGCATCTTACGCAGAGCGAGTATAGTCGCCCGTAGAAAGGAAAGGGTTAAAAAATTATCGCATAATGCAATTAGAAAATATAATTTAATAATGCAATTTCGTATGGAAAGTTTGAAAGCACGGATATACACAAAGTCCTACCTCACATGCTTATATTGGTAATGCGTCTGTCGTTGGACACCATTCTTAGTACAAACAATACACTTTCTCAATCCACTTTTTCGTTTTGTTTTCGCTAGTGTAAATCGCTGGGAAGTGTCTACCAGTAAACCTAAAAGGATTTTTATCCGCAGATCTAGGAGCGCTTTGTCTAAAGTCGTCTTTATGGTATTTTCGTAAAATTTGTCGTATTAATTTAAGATGAAAAGTAGCTACAGAAATATCTTTTCCTGTTTTGTATTTATATAAACAATAAGAATTCCAAACGGCAATATCTAACAAATGAAAAAAGTACTTCTTATATCATTTTATAAATTTTCTGATAGATTTAATGGAACTAATAACCATATCACATTTGTCGACAGCGTCCATTGACGAATTATAATCGACTATACATTTGAGTTTACGTATAAATTCTTGAGTGTTATAATTTCTCTTTCCTGTACATATAAATTCGCTAGTATGGAAAGAAAACATCCTTTTTATCATGTCATTTAAGGGCCAGCAAATTACTCGATGTCCGAAAATCAATCTCGCCTTTTTTTAATTCTCAGTCTATTATAGGCATTCCTTTTCGCCTTTGCTTTACAGTCCCACAAGCATTTGTTACATTTGTATGTAATAAATTAAAAAGAGCAGGACTGCTATAATAATTATCGACATACAATGAATGACTTTTTCCCAAGTAAGGTTTCAAAAGTGTCAAAATGATATTTCCTGTTTTGCCAATCTCTTCCGTGTTCTCTGTTACATGTGAATCACTACCTGTATATACGATTGTATCTAGTACATAGTCTGTTTTACAGCCGCATAATACGTACGTTTTAATGCCAAATCGGCTTCTTTTGGCCGGTATATTAAAAGATAGTCTGCCTTTATACAGTAAAAGACTTTCATCTGTGCATAAATTTTGAAAAGGATGAAATGAGTTTTTAAACAATTTTTGAAGTTTGCTTGAAACGCTGCTAATTTTTTGCAAACGATCAGAAGACTTTTGATTATTATCAACAAAATGCAACTTTCAATAAAACTAAATATCTATCTCTGCACATAATTTTGTAAAAAATATCAGTTTTTGAAAGTTTATCTCTAGACCAATACTCGCTAAGCCGTCATTTTTTGTTTTTCGACATTAGTAGCGTACATGCGAGAAAACAGTACAGCTCGTCGACAGCTTCGTCGATCAATTTTGATGTTACGCATGTCATCATTTACTGTACGTGCCCAATAGTTATTTATCTTATCCACAATAAAATCCACAAAATCAGGTGAAAAAAATAATTGAAAATCTAATATTGCAGAGGAGAAATTTCTCTTCTGTTTGAAGTCCAGAATTGGAAGTATTCAAATTGTGAAATGTTAATTCAACATTCTCCATAGCCCATTGAATATTATTAAAAGTAGTTGATAACAAAGCATCTTCGATGTAATCATCTTCTGATTTTGACGTGCTAAGTACATTTTTCCGACGAATGCTGATTGCTTTCTTTCTAGTACAAATATTATTTATTGCAGTATAGCTATCGGAATCCGATAATTTATCATACATCTCATTGTTCTCGTTTTCGATGGAGTAGCAGTTTCCTCTCCTCCTTTTGTAATTCGTATTCATTAACTTTGAGGTGTGAAAAATAAACGAAAAATATAAAATGCAATGATGTGAAAAATACAAAAAAATTAAACATTTCGAAAGTGTGAGCGAGCCTAAACAAGCGTGCTGCCGAAATGTTATTTTTATACTGCTGTTCGTTTTGTCAATCTGAAATTTTATAGCGTAAAATAAGTGTAAAATGGTTGCGATGGATAACCATGGAGATAACATATATACTCTGCTCACGAAAGTTCACGGGTAACTTAAATCACCGTTAGTAGCGAAAGGATTAAGATGAATCCTTACAAGATACAAAAAGTACAGGATTTAACCCCAATACAAAAGGCTGTTCGTTTTCAATGATTAAAAGCACTAAAAACCTTATACGCAAGCACCGACCTCGTAAATTTGGTGTTTTCTGATGAAAAAATTTTTATAAAAGAAAAAATTCAACAATACATTAACAAACAAAATAACTGTGTGTAGTTAAAGGGCAAATCCAGCGACAATTTAAACAGTAAGTTGCTATGAGGAAACAAGTGCCTAGTTCTGTGATGATGTGGGCTACTGTTACAGCAATTGTACCAACGAAAGGTGTTAAATAATTTGATTATTGATTCCTTGGACATACAAACAATTCGATGCAAACCGCTGGATATTCCTATAGAACTCGACACCATTCCATAAAGCTCGTTCGATACAACAATTTTAAAAAAATCACATTCCACATTTCATTTCTTTGCAGCAGTGGCTTCCATACTCGCCAGACTTATATCCGATGGACTTCTCCATATGGTCCAATTTGGAGGCTACAACAGAATATGAAAATGTGGAAACATAGAAATCAGTGCTTCGTCGGAAATGAAAATGAATTCCACAGAATCTCATTCGTGCAGCGTGCAATGATTTTATTGGAAGATTTGATACCATCATCCGCGTCAGAAGTAACCATATCGAACAGTGACATCACTTTCATGAAATCTAATGTGTTTTCTACATTGTTTTAAAATATTAAATAAAAAGATTCATAATTGACAAAACTATAGCATTTTTAATTGGTAACGAACGCCGAATCCTGTATATATTTCAACTACATAGTTTTTATTTTTCACAAAATAGATTATATGATATAAATATATTACATTTAAAAATAAGTTATGAATTTAATAATGTATATAGCAAGCAGATCTATAATATTTTCATGCAAGAATAAATTTATATATTAAACATCTATACATTCTAGCAGAAACACAGATATCTCTAGTTTTGTAATATCTTGATTTACTTTATTTATTAACAGACAAATGCTAAGTGCTTTGTACTATTTCAGTATATGTTACACTATGTAATAATGAGCATGTAATAAATAATGATACTAAGATTGCAAAAGATAATACTGATAGATATGAGGAATGTAAATATTATTTTTGTCAATATCTATATATAGTTAGCTAATTTAAAACAAGTAAATGAGTATCTTTTATGCAAATATTAGCACTAGTTTTTTATGTCAAGATGTCATTGTCATCTTGACAAGAATATAAATATGATTATGCAAAATGATTTTTGGAAGTTTGACATTCACTTTAAATCTACATTGTTAATATTTCACAGACTTGTAGCTTTGGTTTCATTATTTTTCCATTCTAATCCATTAAAATTTGCTTTCTTTTAATAAAAACTTTAAACTTCTGGACTGCAAGATCTTGATGAAGCTGGTGTATTTATGTCCATACAAATGTTTTTGTTACACTGTGGTTCTCGGGGTTCCGAAATTTCAACTTTTTGATTTGTTGAGGTTTCGTCATTTCTTATTGCACATATTATATCAGTAAGAGCAACTATATAATTTTTAGCCAATGTTAGAGTTTCTATTTTTGAAAGACGTCTTTCCTTAGTAACATGTGGAATTACTTCACGTAGAGACTAGTGTAAAAGGCAAAATTTTAGAATACTACAAATATCTTTTAAATTATTGACAATAATAAGAATTAGAGGAGAAGTCAATATTTACCTGAAACGCATCATTCAAACTATGCATTCTCATTCTTTCTCTTTCATTACTTTCTAATCTACGAAGTGTCCTTTCTTTAGACGTAGACGCTCGTGGAGACTTTGATAATTTAAATTTTTCTGTTTTTCTTGATGGTCGATGTACTGTACCACTATCTTGTACTCCTTGTCGAGTCCACTTTGCTTCCCAATTACTTTCACCCGTTACTTTAGATCTCATTATACGAAGCAACTGTATTACCAAATATGCGTATAATCAATCTACATTTATTTATATAATTGAAAATATGTTTACTTAAGGTAAATATGTTTACTTGAAATATTTATGTGTCAAATTTAATATTCATTAATTTTATATATATAAAAAAAAAGGATCGTATAATTCAATATTTTTTAAAAATAGAGATATCAAATGAAAATTTAAATATATAATGTACATATAAATACTTCTATATTAAAAAAATTATTATATTTTAACCAAATTGCTATATATAACAAAATAAGTTTTTATAATAAACTTGAAAACTCGCTAAAATTATTAAATATATGACGCACTATAATATAATATAAAATATATATATTTTTAAATATGTATAATTTTATTTATTATATAAAAAATTAGTTGAAATTGTCAAATTAAAAAAAATAAATTAAAAGAGACTGTCTATTACAAATATTATAGCAAAGCATACCTTATATTTTATTAAGGGATCTTTAACAATTTGAATCGTTGTTCGAGTACCGCGTGTACTTGTTGAGCCACGCTGGAAGACTGTCGTCGCGACTTCGGGGTGCGGTCGGCGCCACCTTCCACCCCTCAATATTGCACCACCTACGGCGTGGCTAATTCTTCATCGTTAAATGCTAGAATATCTTTTTAAATACTATCTATTGATAGAAAACAAAAATTGAAATTTAGACAAGTATTATTTGTTAAAATTTCAAATAAATTAGACCGACCAGTTTTAACAGGTAAAGATTTATATTAAATATGAATAAATAATCTAAAAAATCAAAAAGATGTACGAGTTAAATTTTATGATGAACTCTTAGATATAGTTGTTATATTTTTGATTTTAATTTCTTAAACCAGTTTCTTTTCTCTTATAATACATTTTTTATCGCGCAAATAGGAAAGATTCAAAAAAGAATTTGATCTTACTACGGAAAATAAGAAGGATGTATTTGAACGCACACCCAGTATATATTATAGCATTTTGAATCTCTACATATATGATGTATATATGTGAGCGGCTACAGGTGGGCGTATGACGTAATTCGCCCACGCGGGGTCTTCTATTTGCTTATTACCGCTTTACCACTAACTACGCCAGTCAAGAGTGTGTATTAAGAAAAGGGTGCGCGCGTTATATTCATGCATGGTTTCAGTTTTTCAAATCAAATCAGTTTTATATCGTATCAGTATTATAAGTTAAATCTCAATATAGTTCAAAAAAAAGGAGAAAAAAAATTTATAACAATCATGTTTATATAGTAACGTATATATATAAATGAACGTTGTTATATTTTATCAAATATTTGAAAAAAATGAGTAAGATAACTAGTAATTATTTGATTTGTTTCTTCCAGACATAAAATTTATAAGATCTTTAATTATAAAATTTTGATTTCAACAATATAATTATGATTACAATATAATTATATTATACTTAATAAAAGATAAAGAAAAAAAACTATTAAGATCTATTATTCTTAACAAATTATTTGCAAGCTTTAAAAAATATTTTATTTCTTATTCTCCAGTTTTACATTTACCACAACACGTATTAATACGTTTCTCTAATTCAAATTTCTTATGATTTGGAGTCCATGGGCCTAAACTAGCTGCAGAGTAAAAATCCATAGGATATGCTTGATTTTTATCATACTCAGCCATCTTCAGGGCGACTGCACCTTCATAAGGTGTAAGAAAAGGTTTATGGAAATTAATGCCCCAATCGATGCTGAGACGTGGACATGCAACCTTAAAGATATGAAAAACCACCTTTTTAAATATCATATTTTAAATAAAACTCGAGACAATGTTTAGATGAGCTAATGAATTTTGTTTAATTACTTTTGAATTATATACCTGTATAAAACTATCTACATTTTTGAATAATTTAATTTTATCTGGGAATATTTCTGAAAGTAAAATAATAACGCTTTCCTTTCTTAAAGCTTTCAACTTATTTTGTAAGTGATCCACAATTTTCGGATGTCCCTGCCGACCTAAAGTCCCAAGTATCATTCCAAATATTTTAGCATTCTTTGTTAAATTTATCGCCAAGAGTCTTGTTTCGCGCATTTCTTTGTGATCATAGAATTCTTCTGTCATCTTTTTTTCATAAGGATCATATTTAAATGCTCGTAAATTTGGATTTGCAATCATAGCAGCTTCAAGATGAAATCTACCATCTCCTATATAAACAATAGCATCTGCACAATGTATTTGTGGCGCAGTGCAACCTAAAATCTTTAATAATGGTTTATATTAATTTAATACATAATACCATAACCTATATAAGAGTAAACAAAGAATAGAAAATAGAAGAAAAATCACTTCGCCTGGACTCAATGGTTTACTCTGCGGTATAGAAACTTCATATCCATTTTTTTTCAATTCTATTGCAATAGCTTGTAACGTTCCTACAAACTGTATTGTACTAATGAGTGATATTTTTGAAATAACTAATAAAGTAGCTTTAATGCTTTCTATACAATGTACAATGTCAATACTTATATTAACAAATACATATAGAACTTTAATTCCAATAGTTTGATCAATGGGAATTAGACAAGAGTGTCCATAATGAATCATAAAATCTGCATCTAATGCTCGAGCTGTGTAATCATCTATGCAACATGCACCTATAAAATAAATTTGTAATAGTAATCAAATTAATATTAAATAATATATATATATATATATATATATATACACATATTTATAATTATATTTTACCATACGTTACATCACCCATAATAATAGTTTCTGCATCTGTAAAATTTTCAATAATATCGGCTATAGTTGTTGCATACATTAATAATCCTTCAGGCATTTGCAAAACGACCCTATTAGCTTTAATTTCTCTGATTCTCCATATGGATTTATGTATTTCAAAGTTGTAATTATTAGGTAATGCTGCAATAGCTGTATTCAATAAGGGATCATTTAAAAGTTCTTGTGGTATCTTATTAACTTTGATTGGAGCTTTAAATACTTTGCGAACTGGTTTTGCCTTAATTACAACAGCAGATTCATATTCTGCAATCATGATTATATTATCTGCTTTTATTAAAAAATTATGTTATCATTATAACTCATATTATATTATTTAAGTGTATTTTTTCTTCTGTTTATTAAACACAGGAGCTATTACATCTTAGAAATCATTTTTGTAAGCACATTATTTAAATAAAAATGATTTTAACTAAACTTCTTCGCTATATTATTATCAATTCTGAAATTATTGAATTTTTATTTACACAAATTTGTAATTCATTTATATACTATACTACAATTTTCCTATCACTCTAATCATATTTCTGTAAACGTTGGTTATGATCAAATATAATTACCAACATAATAACAGTATGTGTTCAACTAAACATCAGTACTTGCAACTTAGTCTAATTAATAACTAGAATTGTCAACTTAATAATCATAAAATTTTTAAATGATTATTATGAATTCGTATTGAAATTGACTTTGAATTGTGATCATAAGTAACGTAAAATGAAGATTGTCTTTACCAAATTTTGATTGGATAATAATTATATTCACATTAATATGGTCCAATCAGAATCTCACATGAAGCATTAATTTCTCAAGAAATACACATATTTAAAGATTCTTATTATTCTTTTTAATCAATTGATCCTTCTTATTATTTTTTTTTATATATGTTTAATATTAATGACAAAGATAGACATAGTCGAGTTGAATTCTTATGATCATAATATTATGAGAAGATTCATGATCAGCTAAAGAGAAGGAATTCTGTTATTTGCTATTACTCTTATACTCTTTTACGTGATTGGTTGGATTTGATTTGATCCAATTCTTGCGTGTCAGTTTCTTATATATATGTTCACGTAAAGATCATATGGACCACGATAGTCGGTGCGACGTTGATTTATGTGTTTCATTTTATTATAATAAAATGAACTTCTAGAAATGTTTAAATGTATAATTGTTTTGATGTGATAACATTTTTTTATGTTTTTCTTCTTTTTTTTTTATCTAACAACAACTATTCAAAATTAATGACGCATAAGCCATTTGTAGGATGATACACAGCATCATTAATGTGACATCAAATCTGTCACGCTTACTGTACGCGTTTTGAAGATGTTTGATTGTTAATTTCACAATTTAAGAGACGTTAATGAATACTTTACTTAATGTTTCAATCATTTCAAAACCTTAATACGTTATAAAATGTTCTTAATCATATAATTAATTTTATTTGCATAAACTGCATACATAATTTTGTCGATTTAACTGGTTGAATAAGTTATATTCTTTAGTATAATGTACGCTAATATTCTTAAAAGGAGAAGTAAATGGTTTAAAGTGAAAAATTTTGAAAGAAATTATAATTACTGAAATGTTCAGAACATTATTTTTGTGTGGTGTGCAAAGAAGTGAGATTTCTACGGTTGTTTCGTTTTAACTATGTAATTTATCTAGATGCACTTGTAACGTCCTATAGCTTACATTTTATAGTGACTTTATACTTTCAAATTTGATAGTTTCAAAGATGCTGGAAGTAGGTTTGCGTGTTGTGCGTGGTCAAGATTGGAAATGGGATGATCAAGATGGTGGAGAAGGCCATGCTGGTACAGTAGTAGAAATTGGCAAACCACCATCTGGAACTTCAGCTTCTAGTCCTAATCCTGCCGATAGAACACCTGACAAGACTGTTATCGTTCAATGGGATCATGGTTCTAGAAGTAATTATAGAATTGGATATCAGGGAGCTTATGATTTACTTGTCTTTGACAATGCAGCTATTGGTGTAAAACATTGTAATATTATTTGTGATGGATGTAAAAAGCGTGGTATAATTGGTATGAGATGGAAGTGTACAGAATGTTCCGATTATGACTTATGCACACAATGTTATATGGCAGATATACACGATTTAACTCATACTTTTCAAAGATTTCAAACTCCTACTTCTATAGAGTTAGTAGAGTTTAAATATGAAAGCTATAACTTTTAACTTGTTAACGGATTTTCCTTTTTTGGATTTTTATAAGTTTTTATAAATTTACATTATTAATAGGATACAGCTGAGTGCAAGAGAAGGTTGTACAAAAATACCGTTGAAAGGTATTTTTATTGGAGCAAAGGTAGTTCGTGGACCAGATTGGGAATGGGGTAATCAAGATGGAGGTTCAGGTAGATATTATATTAGTGGTAAAATATTTTGTGATTGATTTATTAATAATTTGTATATTTATGACATTTGTTTAACATAATTTTTATTTTATTTTAATAGGTAAAAGTGGAAGAGTTATGGATATTCGTGGTTGGGATAATGAGAGTAGTCGTTCGGTTGCTACCGTTACATGGTCCATAGGAAGTACTAATGTCTATCGACTTGGGTATAAAGGCTGTGTAGATTTATGTTATATAGAAGAAGCCACTGCTGGTACCTATTATAAAGAACACCTTCCATTTCTTGGACAACCTATAATAGTATATCCAGACGGTAGAAACGATTCTATGTTGAATAGAGGCAATACTCCCAATGTTGTTGTTTCTAGTCTTCGTCATTTGACATTTAACATTGGAGATAAAGTAAAAGTTTTAATTCAGGTAGAAGCTCTCAAAGAAATGCAGGATGGTCATGGTGGATGGAATCCACGTATGGCAGAATATATAGGGAAGGTATTGCAGAATAATTACATTAATTGATTATTAAATGCATACATGTAATATGTTAATGTATCGCGTAGATCGGTACTGTTCATCGGGTAACGGACAAGGGAGATATTCGTGTACAATACGAAGGTTGTAATAATAGATGGACATTTCATCCTAAAGCTTTAACAAAAGTAACAAGCAAAGATATATTTTCTCTTGGAGATATAGTTAAAGTAAAAAACGATTTAACTACGGTAAAACATTATCAAAGAGGACACGGAGAATGGATAGACGTAATGAAAACAGTGTGTATTCGTAAAATATTGTTTCTTCTTTCTACTATACTTCTACTATATTTCTATTATATATACAATATTTGTACACACATCTATATATAATTTGTTCTATTCATGTGAGTAATACATGCACTGTTCATGTGAGTAATATATTTTTTAAATAAATTATTGGTAATTTTACAGGCTCTTGGAAAAACTGGAAAAATAATAAAAATATATTCAGATGGAGATTTACGTGTAGCATTGGATGGTCATACATGGACATTTAATCCTTTGAGCGTATCATTAATGCCACCTGGATCACATAATGTACCTGTTATAAATGAAGAGGCAGATAGGAATAGAGATCGATCAGGTATAATTTAATATAAGAATAGTGTGAAATATAAGGCAGTGAAATATAAGACAGAGAAGTATATTTTTAATTAATATTTTTATTTTATCATATAGTCGGTGTAACAGATAATGAAGTAGAAAAATTATTACGAGATGCTGCCAGAGGAGAGGCAGGTGTTCATGCGGTAAGGGAATTTTTGAAAAAATATCCTGGTAGGGTGGATGCTCGAGCTGGTGGTCCTGGTGGTGAGAAAAAAACCTGTTTACAAGTAGCTGCGCATCAAGGGCAACATGATCTTTGCATTCTTCTTCTCGATGCTGGAGCTTCTTTACGAGCAATCGATGAAGATGGGGATACTCCGCTACATTATGCCGCATTTGGGTAAGACAACTCTTGTTTTGATTATGATCGAAATAGCTTTGAAAAACAAAGAAATAGTCTATTAAAAAAATATTATATTGCTTACTTTTTCACAGAAATCAACCAGAAATAATGGAATTGCTTTTGTCGCGAGGTGCGGCTATTAATGCTGTAAATAATGGTAAATGTAGTGCACTACATGTTGCTGTAAATAAGCAGCATGTTCAATGTGTAAAAATATTGTTACGTTATAATTGCGATGTAAATCTGCAAGATTCATATGGGGATACTGCATTGCATGATGCCATTGGAAAGGATGCACTTGATATAATCGATGCTCTTTGTGCTTGCGAAAGGATAAATTTTACTTTACGTAATAAGCGTGGTTTTAATGTTCTACATCATGCTGCCTTAAAGGGTAATGCGCAGTAAGTATGCAGTAATTCGTTCTTTGTTTATATTATCAATTGATTCTTGATTGTTTAGATTTTTTCAACTTGTGGATATAAAGTTGGTTACCATTACTGGTTTATTTGTCTAGTGCTACGGAAAGACTTGTGACACGAGCACGGCATTTAGTAGATGTGAAAAAGGAAGATGGTTTTGCAGCATTACATCTTGCAGCATTGAACGGTCATAAAGATGTGGCTGCTACGCTTCTCTCTCCAAATGGCGGTTGTGCAAAAGTAGATCTACGTAATAACAGACGACAAACAGCTCTACATTTAGCTACTTCGCAGGCACACTGGTCCTTGGTAGAGTTACTTATCGATTATAACGCAGATATTACGAATACGGATGAAGACGGAGATACGGCATTGCACATTGCTGTGGCCAAAAGTCCAAATCAACCGTCAACTATACCGACGCCAGAGAGTAGCCGAGATTCACCTATTATTTATGGGGTATTATATTGTTTATTATCAAAAGCTTATTTGCTCTTACATATAAAGTAAATTGTTAATGCGATACAATAATAAGAACTCGTGATTTGTGCAGATTTGGCAGACTTTGACAAGACAAGGAGCAAAATCTGAATTAGCATTGGCTTGTTTTCTAGTAAGCGTAGATAAAACTCGTACACTTCTGGAACACGTAAAGAATTCGAAAAATAAGACTCCTTTGGATCTTCTCAATGAAGATTCACAAGTTGCAGTACTTATGAAACTTTTAAAATCTTATGAATATCAAAGCAACAATGCTCAACTTGAGTAAGTAACATTATTAAATCTTTCTCTTTTTAAATTTGTAAATTATTAGATCTTTCTCTTTTTAAATTTGTCAGGCATAATTTTTAAAATAATTTTTATTAACAACCAACATTACAGAATAGGAAATAATTCATCATCTAGTTGCGCGGAAACCACAATACATCATGGAACTACCACATCTGAATCAGAATTATCTCGTGAGAGTGTCAAAATTAATTCTGCCGATTCTGCTGAATGCTGCGTTTGTTCACAGTTTTTAATTAACTCGAAAGAAGAATCTCGATTTGATCCTAGTGGTAGTGTCCCTTTTGTTAGTTGTTCACATTGTAGACACAAGCCAAACAAATCACAAATAATTCAAGGTAAAATGCGTTGAAATAATAATAATATTGACAAGTTTTACAATTTAATAAACATTTTTAAAAGAATAAATATGCTATGTACTTGTAATATCTTTGTCAGATGACCCAACAGCGATGGCGAATATACCTACAGTTAAAATGGATAAGAAAATAACAGACGTTTCATTGGATTATAAAATAAAAGAAGATAAGCGAGACGAAGAGAAGGAAAAGGAAAAACACCTCGAACGATTACGTTATTTGGAAACTAGAGTGGCTGATCTCGAAGAGGCAAATATGTGTAGTATTTGCATGGAACGTCGCCGCAATGTTGCGTTTCTATGTGGACATGGTGCTTGTGAACATTGTGCAGCACCGTTAAAAACATGTCACATGTGTCGTAAAACTATTACTAAAAAGATTAATCTATATTAGGGATGAAAGTTATGAAATAATTATAAAGAGAGCAACATGAGAAATTAAATAAATGTCAGACTCTATACAAAAATAGAAAAAATAAGTAGAAAATTAAGTTCCTATTTGGGACTGAAAATTATAACTGAAACTTAGTTGAATTTCAAGCATTTGTTTAGTTTGAGTCGTCTCTTATTTAAAAAAAAAAAAAAAATATATATATATATATATATATATATACACATATATACAAGTAAAATCTGGCTCTTTATGTATTTTTATCCGTAGAAAAAATATAACTTTTTATATTATAGCGTGTAAAAGTAATAAGATATTTTGAAAAGTAATTGGTAATCTATATAATGAATTTTAATATTGCGATATACGATCAATATAATTCACATTTTTAAATCAATTCAGTGAACAAAACAAAATAAAATAAATTTATTATATATATTATTGATTTACAAAAAATAAGATTTATTTGTATGAAGAGAAAGAGAGAGACAGAATTTTATTTGTTATCTTTTTACCTATTACCTAGGCTTTTCTATCGTCGAATATATACAATGTGAATACCATAGAATGACTTATTGTTAGATAAGTAATTGTAATGTAATATTTCAACAATATTTTAACTTTACTATGTTTTTACGAATGTATGGAATTTATATTATGCCCTCAATAAATATTAATTATTATAATAAAACGAATGTAAATTCAAATTCACAAGAAAATAGAAATTGTGTTTTTCAATCTTTTGAATTATACTTTACGTATGCCTTATTCCTATAAATTATTTATAAAGATTGATTCAAATTGATTATATAAGATAAAAAATACATAAGATAGTAAAGAGAGCCTTGATAACTTAAGCTTGAAGGTCGATAAATTAGTACGATAAAAAGTATATAATTAGGTTGTATAATTTTAAAAGTATATACTAGGTTGTAAAAGTATACAACTTAGAAATCAAACGCGAAAACAATTTATATTAAATTTATAGCTATTTTACAATTGCGATTCAAAAAATACTGGATATTGTGGCAAACAAATTTTTTAATATTTTGACGTTTATAACAGAATTAATTAATATATATTATAATATGATAAATAAACAGTGACAATAAACCATTAAATAATAAAATACAATGAGAAGAATTCAAACGGATAATATTTCCAACATTTTATTAATCAAAATGATCTATAACCTCTCAGAGATCATATCAAGAATTATATTTATCATCAAAAAAAAAAAAAAAAAACCATGAAGATTTTATACATATATTAATATTTTTATTAATATTTAATGGTTGATATGTAATAATCTACATATGCATCACTAAATAATAATAGAATTTATTTAGGTTCCATTCAATTTCGAATCTAAATTCACAAGTATTACCGTTATCCAATGAAAAATGTTTATCCCAATTTTTTATGAAACTGAAGAATTAATCGGAACACCAGTGATCAAGCACGATTATCACTTTATGTATAAGTTCATGACAAAATTGTTTATTAGTAGCACACTCTATATTGATTTATTGTAAATGGAGCTAAAATAGTCATATGATTCTATATCATGTATAAAAAAGTAGTTGATAAACATAAAATATTTTCTAAAATTGCTTTATGATGGGAAGGAAACGTTTCTTTATATTTCAGCAATGAAAAAAGATGAAGAAAAATGTCGAAAATTTAGAAAATATAGAAAATATGTATACATTATTACAAAATATCATTACACTATGAATGGGATGATAATTTAATGGAATTTCAAATTAAAATTGTTCAATATTATACCTTTTGTCACGTGACTGATATATATGACGAGCTAAATCTAATAAGAATAACAGCTAGATCAATAAAATAATCGAAACTATAGACTTTCAAGTTATATCGATTATATTTCATATTTTATATTTTTATTCATGTTCTTCGTAATTTAGAGAAACATTTTCAAATGATAATCAATATCAATTGACTTTTCACAGTAGTTTTGTTAATACATTATGTTTTAAATTGTATTTTCGATGGTACTATTTTTACATCTTGTCGTTGTGTAAAAGCGCGCAGTTCACACAGTATCTAATAGTTAATATTGTAGTATCTTTTTAAAATATTCTTGCGTCAGCTAGAATTTTAACTAAACGTTACGATCTAAAAATTACGAAATATACGAAGTGTAATTATATTATGCAGATTATTGAAATTTATAAAGTGAAATTTCCATATTAAGATGTTCCGTCGAATTATTTATTGTATTAATCTCGTTAAACGATAGTTGCCAAATCCATATTACGAAATCGTGTTGTATAAAAAAATGTTCTTGGTCATCGCAAGTTAGTGTTGCTGTGTATTGTGGACGTTATAAAATGGGTTTAAAACATAATTAGCATCGTATTATTTAGGTTAGAAAACTATGATTAGTAGGTATTGTCACTAATAAAAAACATGTTTTTCAACTTGCAGCGTTTAGTTTTTTGAACATCGTTTTAGATGCATCATTTATATTTCTTTCAATAGAATCAGAATTAGAATATTACAATTATATAGAATATAATCAAGTAACTTTATAAAAAAATACATAAGGGTGAATTTTGTTTTAATATCTTACATATATTTTTAGATTTATGAAAATACAGATGAGATCTATGAGTTGATAATGTTTGTAATATATGAATGAGATATGCAGGATCAAATCAAACAAAGACTTTTGCGTACTTTTCTTGCAATATTTGGATATAACTTGCATGTCTACGTTAAAGATGTCTGCCGTAGAGGCACCACCTTTTATTCGAACCATAGAATGGGATATGATGGACAAAACAAAGTTTTTTCCATTGAGTATGTTGTCATCATTCTCTGTACGATGCTGCCTCTATCCTCTTACTGTAATAAAAACCCGTCTTCAAATACAGAGACATAATGTTATGTATAATGGTAAGTGTTGAATAGAATAAGGAGTCTTTGAATAAATTATAATAGAAAAAAAATATTCAACATTATTTTGTTATGAACTTTAAATTTGTATATAACTTCATTGAAATAACATAGGCATTATTTAATAATTCATGTCGATTATAGGAATGATAGATGCCTGCAGAAAAATTTATAAACTGGAAGGATTTTCTGGGCTCTATAGAGGTTTTTGGATAAGTTCTATACAAATTGTATCTGGAGTATTTTATGTATCGACTTATGAAGGAGTGCGTCACTTATTAGGAAGAGAACCTCTTGCTCTTCGTATAGATTCTCTTGTAAAAGCATTGATTGCAGGAGGTGCTGCTAGTTTAGTAGGTCAAACAATAGTTGTACCATTTGATATTCTCAGCCAACATCTAATGGTTCTTGGGATCAATAACAAAAGTGGTAAAATTTATATAGATAAGGTGAGTGAAAGAAAATAAGCACAGATATTTATGGAACAAGAATGCATTTTTTATTCTTATTGTAATTTATATATTATGGTTGCTTTATATTATTGACAGTTAGGGATGAACCCATTAGGTTTAAATCTAGAGCCTGGTAGGTCGCGTGCTCATATATCTATAGAAGTTGTAAGATCAATATATCAAAGAGATGGTTATAAAGGTTTTTATCGTGGATATGTAGCATCTTTATGCGCATATGTACCGAATAGTGCTCTTTGGTGGGGTCTATATACGGTATATCAAGGTAATTGTTAATCCATTTTAAGACAATTATTTATTATGTATGTAATTCAAAAATTAATAACTATTAATTTCCTTCGGTTATTATAGATGAACTTATAAAGATATTTCCAATATGGTTTTCACACTTATTCATCCAGGCAGTGGCTGGTACACTTGGTGGTTTTACAACAACTATTATTACGAATCCATTAGACATTGTAAGAGCAAGGCTACAAGTGCAAAGATTAGATAGTATGCTTACTGCATTCAAGATTTTGTGGATTGAAGAAGGACTTAAAATGTTTACAAAGGGGTTATCGGCTCGTCTTGTTCAATCAGCTTGTTTCAGTTTTACAATAATATTAGGATATGAAACTATCAAGAGAGTTAGTATCAATGAAGAATATAAAAATTTTATCAGATGGTGAATTTAAAATGTCCATTCGTAGAAATGTACATTTCAACGAAATAAAATGCATTTTATTAAAAAATACATATATGAAAGCACAGATGTGCAAACGAAATCTCTAGAAGAGAAGTAAAAAAAATTGAATATATATATATACACACATACGCATATATGAAAAATAGTGAATGAAAACACTAACAATAAAGAAATGAAATTGCTTTGTCAATTGTGCAAATATACAAAAATATTTTTAACAGTGAATGCGAAATTAATGATATGTTTAAAAAGTAAGCAAGAAGCTACGAGTTAACATTAAGTAGACTATAGATCACAAATATGTAATCATCTATAGCACAAAGCATTACAGTGAATTAGCAAGGGTTCCATCCGAGGGCTTTGATTTACGATATTCAGACAACAGCCCGCCCAAAGATCCCACTATTTATTAATACTTTAAACTATTATATGCAGCTATTCGTTCTGGAATCTTATTTCATATTATGGAGTAGTATCGACCCAGATTTCATGATGTTGCTGCATCTGGAGTCCCATAGGCTAAGGGTGACTCATTTAAGTAAAGTAAATGAGAATAATTGAAAATAATTGAGAATAAAAGATAATAGATGAAAACGAATAAAAATATATAAGAACAATAAAATAATTATAATTTTTTTGTGAGTTTCTCTGAGAAATTATTTTAGAATTCTCCTATATTTAGTCTATTTATCTATATTCCAGTATTATCAGATGTAGAAAATGTAAGTACTTTAATGTTTAGTTGCAATTAAAATGAAGAGATTTTCGAATCTACCTGAGATAAGCATTTACAGTTGCCCTCTTAAGTCACAGTTTGTGGGGGGCCTCTTCTGCATATAGCTTTTTTTTTTACTTCATGAATTAACCACTGCTCTATAGCATTCCCTAAGTGCAACACATGGAAAAAATATTAAAAGTTAAAGTTTATTATGTATATCATGAACTATCATCCTAGCCTGAGAACAGTCAATGGATCAAAAGAATCTATCAATCGTACTCATTTACACAGGTATATTTACTTAAATGCTGAAGCAAATATTTAAATTAATCGATGAACCTATTATTAACACGTTGCATTTAAAAAATTATAAAGTAATGGACAAAGTTATAATATCTATGATACATTTTATGGTCGTACTCATTTTATGTATGGTCGTACTATTTTTACTTTGCATCTTTAATATATATACTTTATTATATTTACATGTATAAAAAATTATATATTTTTGAAGCAAATACGAAAACGAGTGTAGTGTCAATGTGTTTAATAAGTAATCCAACATTTAATAACTATGCAACATGTTCAAAAATCTTTGCTAATTCGAAAGAAATGAATTTCTAAATAAATGCAAAGACTTAAACTGTAGACACACACACACACACACACACACACACACACACACACACACACATATATATATATATACTTCAAAAGTAAAGTTTTCGACGTCGGAATATAAGACGAGATTTAGGCTTTTAAGGGGCCGCGTGGGAATATTTTTCTGTTTTTTTCACGATTACATGTTCCTAGTTCCTTTTTTAGAGATGTTTGTGAGTTCTTTCTAGTATTTTGTCGGCTTTGATAATGTTTCCGAATGAAAAAATGTAGAGGTGTAAATTAGAATGATAATTACATTAAACAGTAATGATCCTAAGTGATTTGTTAAGCAGTTTTCCAGTTGAGAAACAATCGCGTAGATCTGGTAACAGTAATGGCACATATATAATACATGTTTTATTATAGTTTTATGCAAGCAATATCCAAGGAGATATTAAAAAAAGAACGAAGTGGATAATTATTACAAAACGTATCTTCGCGCTTGCCTTGAATAAAATAAGACCTCTTTTGTTACGGCCTGATCGTCATTTCTCTTCCAAACACGTGACAATGAAACTTTCAGAGTCACGTTAAGAGGAAAAAGAAGGAACATAAATAAAAGAAGACGTGATGCTAGACGCCACGTTATTGGCGGGATATTATTGGCGGTTACTGGTAGGGATATAAGCACTTTCTCAGTCGTGTCTCGATATTCGATGGTTTCAACAGCCCCTCTTAGCATCTTTCTTTCGAATTTTTGGTGATAATTAAGGTAACTTAGTTTTTTATTTACATTCGTTCCTTGTTATTTAATAGTGTTTAGTTGAATCATTTATATTTTATTAATCGTATTTTCTACTTGTACCAAAATCGAACTTGATTTTTCACGATTGAATCAAGGAGACCTGCCAAGAAGATCCCTTACAAGGGCCCATATTCCAGGACTATTATAATGAATAATATTTGGAAAAAGGGGATAACATTGATTGCATTCCTCGATAATCTAGCGAGGAAAAGATGATGAAGAAAATAAAAGAATGCCGAAAGTACGATGGGACTGATAACGAAGGATGGACATCTCGGAGATCCCTTTCTGTCAAAATCAGAGTGGAAAAATGCATTTTCATTTTTCTCTAACGAAGGAAGGAAACCGCTCGTCCTTCGTAATTATTGCCTTTATATTTTAGTGACACAAGAATCGATTCCTTCTCAGCTTTGGGCATAGTTGCGATATCGTTCGGAAACTGAAAAATAGAAAAAAAATTATCATAAAGCGTTGAAAAGATTTGTAATGTTTGATATAAAAATATACTTGAGTCAAGTCTTGGTTATTGTACGACGAGCATCTTGTCTCAAGCCGACGAAGAAATTTGGCATAAATTAGAAACCGTATGAATTAATGAGTTACGTAACATTTAAATAAATAGAATATTGTTTAAATATTACTATTTTTATATAAAATATAGTATATAAACTGAGATTTTCGCGTTTCATAATATTAAATTAAAATTAAATTATACTTTATACGTGTTACAAACGGCGTAACGTTTAAGCAGTCGTGTTATCTTTTAAATATTTGTTTATAAGACTGCGCGTACATTAATATTGTTTAAATAATTATAAAGTGATAGAAAGCATAAAAGATTTAAGTTTAGCTGGATCAAATGGATGAATTTTGATGTTTATTTGACGGAACGCAAAAGAAAATTAATCGAATTACTATTAAGGACAGTAGAAAATTAATTTTTGTCGATATTCTACCGAGATTCTTTATTATAGATATATATATATATACATCTATAATTCGACCGATTCTTTTTTTGAATTTTGAATAAGATTTACCCGCGACGATTTTATTATCTCCTTATCATTTTTATCATTTATTTTGATAAAAAAAATTCGAAATGAATAAAACGAAAACCATAACATTTTTCCATATGGGTATCTATTCTTCTGTATCAACGAAGAAATGAAAATTGAAAATAACGATAGCACGGGATTATATCGATTTATTATAGGTTCTTTTTGTTAGCAGAAACAGAATTTATCGTAGTTATATTTTGTAAGCCTTCTTACGAAAATAGTCGGTGAAACTTTAATATGATAAAGTTTTCAAACTTCCCGCCATACATCACCCTCAGCCTGCACCCACCCTTTCTCTCGTTCCACCCAGATTCGTCCTGATAATTCAGTCAAGTAAAGTTCTGTCATATAAGTAATTTACATTTGATCTACATAATGAAAATTACGAGATAGATTGATAGATAGATAATTGATAGATAGATGAATGAATAGATAAATGAATAAAGAAAAAGAAAAAAATGGATAAAGAAGAAAAAGAAAAAACAAATCAGATCGAGTACCGCGCAATTTATCTATCGAAAGTATTATTACAGGTTAATTATGAGAGACAGTCGTAACTCGTTGATATGACGGAAGTAAAAGTAACGATTTCTTTTTTTATCTGTTTTCCTTTTTTTTTTCTTTTTTTTCGCTCAAAATAAATCAGATAGGTGCAATTCTTTCGCATAATTTTCACGTAAAATTCTTCGAATATAAATCATCATCGAATATAAATTTAAAATCTCGGTGAAAGTTACATTGAGTGTAGCATTACAATAAAAAAGTTCATTGTCTTGTTTTCTTCCTTGTGTACTTAATTACTTCTCATCACTAACATTTATATTTAATCGAATTGTTCCACTTTTTGCTCGATGCAGTACATGAAGGATATTATTATACAACGACGACGACGACATTAAGACACAGACTTGCACACACGAGTAAGATATATGCAAATAGTGAAGTCAGAACGATAGGCAGTCACGTGCATATATAGATTTACATATATATATATGGGGATATATATACGAAGGAACGAGGGAGATAAAACTTGAGTATGTATGGGATACAAAGTGTGAAGCCGAGATTAGCGTACGCAAGCAGAGTGTAGGGCGGCGCCCTAATAATGTAAATAGCCGAATAGCGATCAAGTATCTCACGGCGAGACAAAAATCGAGTAAAAGAAAAGAAGGCAGTCAGTATCTAGCAGTCGAATAACCAACACATCCTAGTGTATTAATATTTTTTTTTGCTTTTTATTTATTAGAATATATTGCATTTCTGTGAAGAGAGATTTCCTTTCATACTAAACCTATCATCAGTATCATCGGAATTCTTATTTTTCTTTCGTAAGATATCCTTTCGGAAGACTGACTAGATATATATATATATATATATATATATATATATATATGCATGTATATATATGTGCATATGTGTATACGTATATACAAGAAGTTTCTCGAATAGTTAGAAATTTTCTGACAGATTATGGTTATTTTCCAGCAATCTAAGGCATTTTCACTGGAGATGTTATTTGATCAACTCGGTAGAATGATTCATATTAAATATTTACCAATTTTTTTCGTTTCTAAACAAACTTAAATATTATATATCTTTACATGGATATGGATTTAAAATTTAATGTTAAATTAAATAATACAAAAATATCGTATTGATATTAATATTGAAGAAATGTAGATTAAAAATAGAAAAAAATAGAAAAAGAAAAAAAGGAAAATGTTTGTATGATATTTGTATATATGTTTGCATGTATGTATAAATGTATGTTTGTATAAATGTATTACGTATAAATTTTCCATGTACATACGTTTATATATATATGTATGTATATTTTTTATGCTTTTCTCTACATTTATTCATTTTTTTATGGATACCTTTCGGACTCGCCTTTCATTTTTCTTCACAGCGAAGAGGATCGAATAAAAAGTTGAAACGAGTGGTGGAGGGATGGAGAA